ATCATTACCACCACTCATCATAATGTATATCGTGATATGAATTTTTTGCCATATCGCACATTCCTAAAGTGAATCATAGGAACATAGCAGGAAGTAAATCATGCTGGGTAGTACAGAAGCTGCTGAGTCACTGGTTGTCTTTGTGATTGGTCCTGTTTGGTCAGAACTGGACTGTGATTGGTTCTGTTTGGTCAGAACTGGACTGTGATTGGTTCTGGTTGGTCAGAACTGGACTGTGATTGGTTCTGGTTGGTCAGAACTGGACTGTGATTGGTTCTGGTTGGTCAGAACTGGACTGTGATTGGTTCTGGTTGGTCAGAACTGGACTGTGATTGGTTCTGGTTGGTTAGAACAAGACGGTGATTGGTTCTGGTTGGTCAGAACAGGACTGTGATTGGTTCTTGTTAAATAGGACCTGGCTGTGATTGGTTTTAGTAAGTTCGAACTGGTCTGTGATTGGTTCTGGTTGGTTAGAACTGGTCTGTGATTGGTTCTGGTTGGTTAGAACTGGTCTGTGATTGGTTCTGGTTGGTTAGAACTGGTCTGTGATTGGTTCTGGTTGGTTAGAACTGGTCTGTGATTGGTTCTGGTTGGTTAGAACTGGTCTGTGATTGATTGTAGTTAGTTAGAACTGGGCTGTGATTGGTTCTGGTTAGTTAGAACTGTGCTGTGTTTGGGTCTTGTTAGAACTGGTCTGATTGGTTCTAGTTAGAACTGGGCTGTGATTGGTTCTGGTTGGTTAGAACTGGTTTGAGATTGGTTCTGGTTAGAACTGGTCTGTGATTGATTGTAGTTCGTTAGAACTGGGCTGTGATTGGGTCTTGTTAGAACTGGTCTGATTGGTTCTAGTTAGAACTGGACTGTGATTGGTTCTGGTTAGTTAGAACTTGGCTGTTGGTTCTGATTAGATAGAACTGGACTGTGATTGGTTCTGGTTAGTTAGAACTTGGCTGTGATTGGGTCTTGTTAGAACTGGTCTGATTGGTTCTAGTTAGAACTGGACTGTGATTGGTTCTGGTTAGTTAGAACTTGGCTGTGATTGGTTGTGACAGTGATGAAGATGAAGAGGAGCAGTGACTGACCGTCCAAAGAGAGCCAGTCCAGTTGGGAGCTAGGTAGTGAGCTGGCGTTCCTCGCTCTGTACTCAAACAGAACCGACGAGGAAACAGAACCTCCGGGCTCCTGAACCTGCAGACACACCAGACCGGCCTCATGGGCTGAAACACAACAGAGACAGAACCCATTAGTTAGTTCTGCTGGTTTTACAGGTGTTACACAGAACAGGTGTGTTGTTGGGTCAGAACCTTTGCAGATAAACCCTAACCTCTACCCCTAACCTACTAATGAGAGCTGGGTTCTAATGAGAGCTGGGTTCTAATGAGAGCTGGGTTCTATAGTTTGTAGTATAAAGGCAGAGGAACCAAGGTTCTGATGGACTCAGTGAAGCGGGTCAGTACCTGGACAGTAGCAGCGCAGGACTCCAGGCTGGATCAGCGCTGCAGGGACGGTGCTCTGGTCGAACACACAGGAGTAACGCCAGGACGTCTCGGTCCACGGCCCGGTGATCAGAACCTTCACACCGCCCTGCAGAGGACAGGTCAGACTGTGAGAACGGTTCCCTGGTTCCACTGGTTCTGACTGATCCAAACGGGTCGTTACCTCTGGATAGGACCACTCTGGAGAGAAGTCTGTGATGGAGGCCAGGTGCGTGGAGGAGGAGGGCAGCGGCTGAGGGAACGGGAGGAAGGAGGAGGAAGGGGACGGCTGTGGAGGAACCATATACCGGACCCCCGTAGGMAACAGGACCGGTCTCGGCGTGACGGCGGCAGGGGGCGGAGCCGCTGTGGGATTGGACTCTTCAGTGATGAGGTCAGAGATKAGATCAGGAAACTGGCTGTCGAAGGAGATGTCGAGCTCCTCCCCTCCCTGCTCACCGGGATCCGCCTCCTCCTCAGAGGGCGGGTCCATGCAGGTGTCCTCTGAGTMTAAGCCCCGCCTCTGCTCTTCCTTCACCTGGACTGATGTGGTGTCCATGGCAACACCTGTGGGGCCAGAAATCACTGGCGGCTGATTGGGTATTCTGACAGGGGGCGGAGCTTCTGGAGCAGACAGGAGGAAAGTCTGTTGTCCATCAGCCTGTCCCTGCCTCTCATAGGTCAGCTGGGGGGGTTGACTCTGTGTGTCCGTGCTCACTAAGAGGAGGGAGGCGGAGTCATCCGACTGTTGCCGTGGAGATGTGCTGGAGAAGGCAGGGCTTGTCTGAGAGACAGAAATATATGTAAATGGAAGGACACGCCCACAGAGAGTAGTGAGAGGAGGGACACGCCCACAGAGAGTAGTGAGAGGAGGGACACGCCCACAGAGAGTAGTGAGAGGAGGGACACGCCCACAGAGAGTAGTGAGAGGAGGGACACGCCCACAGAGAGTAGTGAGTGGAAGGACACGCCAACAGAGTAGTGAGTGGAAGGACATGCCCACAGAGAGTAGTGAGTGGAAGGACACGCCTACAGAAAGTAGTGAGAGGAGGGACACGCCCACAGAGAGAAGTGAGAGGAGGGGCACGCCCACAGAGAGTAGTGAGAGGAGGGACACGCCCACACAGAGTAGTGAGTGGAAGGACACGCCCACAGAGAGTAGTGAGTGGAAGGACACGCCCACAGAGAGTAGTGAGTGGAAGGACACGCCCACAGAGAGTAGTGAGAGGAGGGACACGCCCACAGAGTAGTTAGAGGAATGACACGCCCTCAGAGAGTAGTAAGAGGAAGGACACACCCTCAGAGAGTAGTTAGAGGAGGGACAAGCCCACAGAGAGTAGTGAGAGGAAGGACACGCCCACAGAGTAGTTAGAGGAAGGACACGCCCACAGAGTAGTTAGAGGAAGGACACGCCCACACAGAGTAGTGAGTGGAAGGACATGTCCCCACAGAGTAGTGAGTTGAAGGACACGCCCACACAGAGTAGTAAGAGGAAGGACACGCCCACACATTGTAGTGGGCGTGTCCTTCAACAGTAAGAGGGTCTGAAGCTCACCTGCAGCAGTGCCAGCTTGGTGGGAGGAGCACTACCTTCATCATCATCAACATCTTCATCATCAGTCCGGCCCTTCACCTCCTCTTCATCAGGCCCCGCCTGCTCCCGCACCTCCTCAGACCCCACCAGACCTCCCAGCTCCAGGCAGAGGGGGAGGATGTGTGGGGCCACAGAGGAGGTGGGGGACAGGGTGAGGTTGAGGGAGGGGGGCAGAGAGGAGGAAGGAGGCGAGGCAGAGGAGGAGGGGGAGGTAGAGAGAGAGGAGAGAGAGGAGGGGGGAGAGACAGAGGAGGGAGGGGTGGAGGTTATGGGGGAGAGACACAGTGAGAGGGAGGGGTGGGAGGAGGCGGAGCTAAAGGTGGAAGATGAGGAGGTGGGAGGAGGACCACCGTATGTCTGTCCCTGCTTGGGGGAGTTCAGGAAGGAGTCNGTTGATGGACCGTTGATGGAAGACTGCTGTTGATGGATCGTTGATGGATGACTGCTGTTGATGGATCGTTGATGGATGACTGCTGTTGATGGATCGTTGATGGATGACTGCTGTTGATGGATTGTTGATGGATGACTGCTGTTGATGGATGACTGCTGTTGATGGATCGTTGATGGATGACTGCCATTGATGGATCGTTGATGGATGACTGCCATTGATGGATCGTTGATGGATGACTGCCGTTGATGGACCATTGATGGACTGTTGATGGACCGTTGAAGGATGACTGACGTTGATGGACCGTTGAGGGATGACTGCCGTTGATGGACCATTGATGGACCGTAGATGGACCGTTGATGGACTGTTGATGGATGACTGCCGTTGATGGACCGTTGATGGATGACTGCTGTTGATGAACCGTTGATGGATGACTGCCATTGATGGACCGTTGATGGATGACTGCCATTGATGGATCGTTGATGGAAGACTGCTGTTGATGGACCGTTGATGGATGACTGCTGTTGATGGATCGTTGATGGATGACTGCCATTGATGGATCGTTGATGGATGACTGCCATTGACGGATCGTTGCTGGATGACTGCCGTTGACGGATCGTTGATGGATGACTGCCATTGATGGATCGTTGATGAATGACTGCCGTTGATGGACCATTGATGGACCGTTGAAGGATGACTGACGTTGATGGACCGTTGATGGATGACTGCCGTTGATGGACCATTGATGGACCGTTGAAGGATGACTGCCATTGACGGATTGTTGATGGATGACTGCCATTGATGGATCGTTGATGAATGACTGCCGTTGATGGACCATTGATGGACCGTTGAAGGATAACTGACGTTGATGGACCGTTGATGGATGACTGCCGTTGATGGACCATTGATGGACCGTTGATGGACCGTTGAAGGATGACTGACGTTGATGGACCGTTGATGGATGACTGCCGTTGATGGACCATTGATGGACCGTCGATGGGCCGTTGAAGGATGACTGCCGTTGATGGATCCTTGATGGATGACTGCCATTGATGGATCGTTGATGGATGACTGCCATTGATGGACCGTTGATGGAAGACTGTTGTTGATGGATCGTTGATGGATGACTGCCATCGATGGACCGTTGATGGAAGACTGCTGTTGATGGATTGTTGATGGATGACTGCTGTTGATGGATCCTTGATGGATGACTGCCATTGATGGATCCTTGATGGATGACTGCCATTGATGGATCGTTGATGGATGACTGCTGTTGATGGATCGTTGATGGATGACTGCTGTTGATGGATCGTTGATGGATGACTGCTGTTGATGGATTGTTGATGGATGACTGCTGTTGATGGATCGTTGATGGATGACTGCTGTTGATGGATCGTTGATGGATGACTGCCATTG